ACTACGTTTTCTAGTACAGCTACATCTACTACTACTACCATAGTACTACTACATCTTTTATTACTAATACTACTACTGCTTCATCTACCATCTCGCTATTGTATTTCAATGAGAGGGTTGTTGTTTGCATGATACAGTTTCTCTTATTTCTTTCAGTGGTAATCCGTTGATTGAGACAAGAGAGAGGGTTGCATAGTTCTTAAACTGGGGACCACGGATCCCAGATTAAGAACCTCTTGTATGGAAAGTCATAGAAGGCTACAGAAAATTGTTATTCATTTTCGTAATTTTACTGGTACTATTCCATTCCATCATGGGTTGAGTCTTGTCATTACCAACCGCCGCCTCCGCCGTAGCCTCCTCCACCTCCACCTCCGCTGCCGTATCCACCTGCGCCTCCACTGCCGCCTCCGCCGCTGCCGGAGAAGGAGCCCACACCAACCAGCTGAGCCCGGACCACGCTGGGGCCTCTGGATCCGCCTCCACCTCCTCCACCATATCCTCCTCCACCTCCTCCGCCGCGTCCACCTCCACCGCCTCCGCCGCTTGAAAAGGTACGAGCTGCGACGAGACGAGCTCTCACTACGCTGCCGCCTCCAGATCCACCTCCGCCTCCAAAGCTACCTCCGCCTCCACCTCCATATCCACCACCCCCTCCTCTGCCTCCACCTCCTCCACAGCAACCACCAGGAGCAGCCGCTACCACGCTTATGGCGGCCACGAACGCCAGTACAATCTGTTGAATGGGAACATATATAGAAAATATGCTCATACAGAATAATATGCACACAAGTGCATATACTTGTCTATGCAGATAAAGCATGCATGCATACATGCAATAAATTTATATATATGTTCATATTTACATCTATTTCACTTTCTGTATATCCCCTATCTAGCTATCTATCCTTTTACAACTGCCTTTTTTACCATAACAAAATGACCACTTACATAAGTCTTCATGTTCTGAGTTCTTTCCCTCTGCACACTGACTACATCTTGAGTTGACGATCCCTTTATACTCCATGTATAAAGGGATGCCAGGTACCCTTTATCTACACTTTTTGCGCCGAAACTTACTTCTGAAGTCCTTCATACAATAGAAAAGAATGAATGACTAGGTTTTAAACGTTGATTCACCTTGGGTCCGTGCGGATCCACAGCCGTCCGGTTTAAATACTCAACCTAGAAGATAAATATAGCTTCAGTTTAATTTTCTTTTCCTATATTCAGTCATATTCTTAATATTGAATGACCCAGGATTACCTTCAGAGCCACCGCTGTCCAGGGTTATACTTCTAAAATTAAAAATCAAACAGCGATATGAGAAATCAAGACAGGCATGAAAATAAGCACTGGCTTAGTGTAGTAAGATTTGATGCTGATGTACATAATGCTACGCATGTACTCATGTACATGCAAAACAGGGGTAATAAGAACAATAACACATAAGTATTGAAATGTCTACACAGTTATGTACATATCTACCTATTTACATATGAAGTATGGGAAGGAAGAAACCGTTGATCATAACGTTTCGAATCAGACGAGCCTCCTCCTCAGGTGATTTTTTTCTGCAGTGGATCCATTTCAGTTTTCTCGACTAATGAGGAATCAATTTCTCACTGGGAACGTGCCTATTCTTATTTTTCTATTATCGCTGTAATTATACTACTATGTTTGTACTTTTGTTTAGATTTACCTTTATACTTGTATATATAGCTATCTTTGTCTACCTATATATATACGTACTGCTACCTACTACTCACCCGCCTACCGTGCTACCCGTCTACCTCCCTTTCTATTAATCTGTGTATATAGCCATCTATATCTATTCTTTTTATATTTTTCTATCTGTCAATAGATCTATTGCATTATCTAAAATGATATGAATTTTGATAAACAATATCTATGTATATTATCTATCAATTTTCATAATAAAAAAGCAGTTGGAATTATCTTGCCTTTTAAAATGTAATTATGAAATGTGCATCTATCAGAAAACAAAATTCTATTTCCCTTTCTTTTTTATTTATTCTTTTTGTTTTACTCTTGGTGGTATTACTATAATTTTCTTTTTCAGTTCTATTCGTAGTAAACTCAACTTATAAATTTTAACTTCCTTATAATATCAATATCTTGACAAATCTCGCTTTACCGAACATTTCCTATTGTTTTATGTATCACATATTAAGATATAACCTAGACTAGACTTATATCAAACTAGATATAATATAATAAAATACAGAATATTTATTCATATAGATTTAGCTTTAACTAGAAAAGCGCAAAGTACGGCTTTGATTTCTTTTTTTTTACTCATATCCATCTAATTCATTTCCTATTCTATCAATTTAAATTTACCCCTGATATCTCCCCATTTATTGTCAGTTAAAACAAGAAAATAAGATATCCTAAATCTCTTTTATAACCCAAAGTAACGCAAGATTTATATCGAAAGATCGTAAATTCCACCTTTATAATCCCAGTCATTTACCGTTAGCTCTAGACAAAATCAATTCTGATTACATTAGGGTCGTGTACGAGTATATCACATGGAAGAAAGGTTTGGGAAAATGCAAAGAAAATTTCTCCATTTTCGTATTTTATTTGTATCATTCTATCTTCTTGGGTTGAGTGTTGTCACGAAGCCGCATTACCAACCGCCGCCTCCGCCGTAGCCTCCTCCACCTCCACCTCCGCTGCCATATCCACCTGCGCCTCCACCGCCGCCTCCGCCGCTGCCTGAGAAGGAGCCCACACCAACCAGCTGAGCCCGGACCACGCTGGGGCCTCTGGATCCGCCTCCACCTCCTCCACCATATCCTCCTCCACCTCCTCCGCCGCGTCCACCTCCACCGCTTCCGCCGCTTGAGAAGGTGCGAGATGCGACGAGACGAGCTCTCACCACACTGCCGCCTCCTGATCCACCTCCTCCACCAAAGCTACCTCCGCCTCCACCTCCATATCCACCACCCCCTCCACCTCCACCACCTCTTCCACCTCCTCCACAACAACCACCAGGAGCAGCCGCTACCATGCTTATGGTGGCCACGAACGCCAGTGCAATCTGTTGAGAGGAAAAGGTATAGTGTCTACCATATGGTCACCCAGAACAACGTGCACAAAGGCATATCCAGGTAACAATTATGTGATATATCTATATTCATAGCTACATCTCTATCCCTATATAGTATATGTTCACAGTTATGATCATTTCACTTTCTGTGTATCTAACATCTACCTATCGTTCCATTTACAATTACAATGTTTGCCATTATAGAATATGCACTTACACAAATCTTCATGATCTGAGTTCTTTCCTCTGCAGACTGTCTACATCTCGACTCCCTATATACTCCTGTTTTCAGGGATGCCAGCTACCCTTTATCTACACTTTTTGCGCCGAAGCTTACATCTGTCCTTCATCCTGTAGAATAGATGAATGACTAGGTTTTGAATGACTAGGTTTTGAATGTCGATTTATTGTTAATATAAAAAAGATCATAATGTGAAAGATCAAGATAGACAAAAAGAAAAAAAAGAAAGAAAGAAAGAAAGCAAGAAAGAAAAAAAGAAAAAAAAGCATCAGCTTTGTGTAATAAGATGTGATGTAGGTGTACATAGTGTTACGCAAATATTATACATACTTGCAAAATAAGAATACTAAGAACAGCAAAAGCACACGAATATTGAAATTTATGCAGCCTTATGCGTATATTTAAGTATAAAAGAGACTCGGGAAGAGAGAAACCGTTGACTGTAACGTTTCGAGTCAGTCGAGATTCCTTATCTGGTGATTTTTCTGAACTGGATCATCAATTTTGTTTTTTCCGATTGATGGGGAATCTATTTCTCACTCGAAACGTGACAATTCTTCTTTTTCCTGATATGACATCCTTATCCATATTTCTACATACCTATCTATCTATTTATCTATGGATCTATCTACTCTATCTATTTATCTGTTTGTCTTTCTACCTGTTTATCTGTGTATGTATCGATTTTTATATATTTTCTATCGATCTCTCTATCATTCTATCTTATTATCTAGGACCTATGATGATCTTAATTAAAAACTATAATTGCCATAGCTAACTGGATTAGCGTGTTAGAAAATTACGTTATGGTTGTTGAAATTGCAAAAAGAGAGAAAAAGGAGAGAGAAAGAGAGACGATAGTAAAGGATATGGCTAACCACTTTTCTTTGAAATCATCAAGAAAGATTTCTAGAGGCCACGATGCAAACTCTTTAAAAGTGACGATACAATTGTGAATCATTTTTTATCAATTTTCATCGTTATTATTGGTTTTGAATTTGCTGTCGGCGTTATCATAATCTTTTTTATTATTCCAGTGATACAGCTCACGAGGTCGTCAGTGTCTCCATCTAATTGTTCCTGAATTTTAGCTTTGATTCCATTATCAACTATTTCATACTGTTTCATGTATCGCATATTCAGATATTAAACTACAAGTCGCAATATCAAATATGTTTTATGATACATATAGTTTTATTTAACTGGAAATCTCTTAGAAAGCGGAAGTTCTGGCTGTTAGTTTCATTATATTCATTTTTATTTTGATAACCGATAATATATTCCAATTCTTTTAAATTTATGCAAAATCCCAAGTGATAAACAGTAGATTCTAATCAGCCTATATAACTCACGAGTCGTTTACCTAAAGCCCCAAACAATTTCAATTTTCTTTTCGTTGAAGAGAACTGCATCAAAGGAGTTGAAAGTCATAACTGGAAAGAACTGTTTTTAATTTTCGTATTTTATTTATGTAATTCAATCTTCATTGGGTGAGTGTTGTCACGAAGCCCCATTACCAACCGCCGCCTCCACCGTAGCCTCCTCCACCTCCACCTCCGCTGCCATATCCACCTGCGCCTCCACCGCCGCCTCCGCCGCTGCCTGAGAAGGAGCCCACACCAACCAGCTGAGCCCGGACCACGCTGGGGCCTCTGGATCCGCCTCCACCTCCTCCACCATATCCACCTCCACCTCCTCCGCCACGTCCACCTCCACTGCCTCCGCCGCTTGAAAAGGTACGAGCTGCGACGAGACGAGCTCTCACTACGCTGCCGCCTCCTGATCCACCTCCTCCACCAAAGCTACCTCCGCCTCCACCTCCATATCCACCACCCCCTCCACCTCCACCACCGCTTCCACCTCCTCCACAGCAACCACCAGGAGCAGCCGCTGCCACGCTTATGGCGGCCAAGAACGCCAGTGCAATCTGTTGAAAGGGAAAGGTATATTGTCTACCGTTTGGTCTCGCAAGCGCTTATGCATATGCGCACAAGCGTGTATGCAGATAATGCATGTACGCATTCATGCAATAATTTGGTATATCAATATCCATATCTACATCTATTCATCTATCTCTATATTCTATACACTAGTATCCATGAACAAACTTTCACTTTTTGTGTATCCACCATCTACCTATCCATCTATTTACAATTGCCAGTTTTACTGTGATAGAATAGACACTTACATAAATGTTCATGTTTTGAGGCCAAACTCCTGCAAGCTGGTTACATCTCGACTCGGCGATGCATTTATACTCCCCTGTCCTCGGGGATGCCAACTAACCTTAATCTAAACCTTTCCTGAAGCTTACTTTTGTCCTTCATGCAGCAGAAAAGATGAATGACTTGGTTTTGAACGTCGATTTATTGCCAACATATACATCAGACCGCGATATGAGATAAAATCAGGGACTGGTATCGTGTATGCAGATGGTATTATGGTTTAATCTGATGATTTTCCTGCACTGGATTATCCATTTTGGTTTTCTCGACTGAAGAGGATTCTCTTTCTCACTCTCTATTTCTCCATTTTTTCACTGTTATAGCTGCCTTTGATTTTATTTTTGTATTGTATATATATTGCTATATTTCTATTTTTGTTAGCTACTTATCTGCCTAACTAGCCCCCCCCCCCCCGGTGTATCTATGTGCCTATCTATTTATATCTATTTATATCAATTTCTTTCTATATACGTATCTATTTTCTATTCATCTCTATCATTCAACTTATTAACCAGAACTTTTAAACAAATATGCAAAATCTATTTACATATACATATATGTATATATATTATTGACGGAGAATCGCTAATGGAATCTAGTTGGTGACTCATTGGAGTAGCGAGTTAGAAAATTACTTTTTAGGTAGTTGAAGTTGCAAAAAGAGAGAAAAGGGAAAGGAGAGAGAGAGAGACGGTACTAAGGGAGATAACTGTTCATTCTTCGAAGTCATCAAGGAATTCAAGAGGTTCTTAAAGACCAAGACACAAACCTAGTAAAACTGACCATACAAATGTGCATCTATTATGATTTTCGTTGTTAATCTTATTAAACTTGGAGTTGTTATTATCAAATATTACTTTTCAATTCCATTCGTAGTAAGCTCACGAGGTCGTCAATGTCTCCATCCACCTAGTCCTGAATTTCATCTCTGATCCCATTGTTGTCATAATACTTATAGAGAAACTCCCTTAGACATTAAGTATCACGCTACATCCCGCTTTATTGGCTATTTCATATTGTTTTTTTGCATCGAAATTTCAGATATTAAACTACATGCCACACTATAAGATACGGCTGCATGATCTGTATTGCCTTATTAACTGGGAACTTTCTGTGAAGTGGAAGTCTCGGCTGTTAATTTCATTTTCTGATCTACCTACTTCAGTTCTCATTCTACCAATTTGAATTACAGCTGATATATCCCAGTTATTGACAATTTGCGAAATATCCCAAGTAAATGTACAGCACATTCTCAGCCTATACAAAATTCATAAGAGTCGTTTACTCTAAGTTGCAAACAATATGAATTTTCCTTTCGCTGAAAAGAACTGCACCAAAGGAGTAGAAATTCGTATCTTATGGACGAAAGATTTGGGAGAGTGCAAAGAACTGTTATTAATTTTCGAGTTTTATTTATATAATTCAATCTTTTCAATCTTCTTGTGTTGAATCTTGTCACAAGCCATTACCAACCGCCGCCTCCACCATAGCCTCCTCCACCTCCACCTCCTCCTCTGCCGTATCCACCGCCGCCTCCACTTCCACCACCGCCTCCACTTCCCCCGCCTGGCAGGGAGCCCACGCCAACCAGCCGAGCCCGGACCACACTGCCGCCTCCTGATCCACCTCCTCCACCAAAGCTACCTCCGCCTCCGCCTCCATACCCACCACCACCTCCACCTCCACTACCGCTTCCACCTCCTCCACAGCAACCGCCAGGAGCAGCCGCTGCCACACTTATGGCAGCCACGAACACCAGTGCAATCTGTTGAGAGGAAAAGGTATATTGTCTACCGTCTGGTCACCCAGAATAACGTGCACAAGCGCATAAGCAGATAAAGCATGGACACATACATGTAATAATTTGGTATATCTATATCCATATCTACAACAATTCATCTATCCTTATATTTTGTACTAGCATCCATGAACATTGCACTTTCTGTGTATCTACCATCTACCTATCCATCTATTTACAATTTCCAGTTTTACTGTGAAAGAAAAAACACTTACATAAATGTTCATGTTTTGAGGCCAAACCTCTGCAAGCTGACTACATGACGACTCGGCGATGCCTTTATACTGCTCTGTCCTCGGGGATGCCAACTATCCTTAATCTATACTTTTCCTGAAGCTTACCTGTGTCCTTCATGCTGCAGAAAAGATGAATGACTAAGTTTTGAATATCGATTTATTGCCAATATAAACATCAGACCGCGATGTAAGATAAAATCTGGTACTGGCATAGTTTAGGAAAATGTGGAGTAGATACAGATATTCATGTACATGCAAAACAAGGATACCAAGAAAAAAATCGCAGAAAAACATAAGTATATATACCTATTCAAACATGAAGTATAAAAGAGACTCGGGAAGAGAGGAAACGTTTATCGTAACGTTTCGTATAAGACTAGACTTCTAATCTGATGATTTTCCTGCACTGGATCATCCATTTTGGTTTTCTCGACTGATAGGGAATCTATTTTTCACTCGAAACGTGCCATTCTTCTTTCACTGTTATGAACGTCTTTGATTCTATTTTGTACATATATTGCTATATTTATATATTTGTTGATTACTAATCTGCCTGACTAATTGCCAATTCCCTTCGTGTGTATATGTACCTATCTATTTATATCCATTTATCCATGTATCTTTCTGCTTCTATCTATTAGTGTCTGTTCCTCTCTCTATATATCTATGTATCTATTTTCTATCCACCTTTCTATCATTCAACCTATCTTATAAATGAGAACTTAGGTATGAAAAATCTATTTGTATATACATATATGTATATATATTATTGACGAGGAGTCGCCAATGGATTCTGGTTGGCGACTCATGTAGAGATGATCTTAAGAACTATAACTGGAGTAGCGTGCATGGAAATTACGTTTACATAGTTGAAGTTAAAAAAAAGACAGAAAAAGAAAAGCGAGAGAGAAAAAATGTAGTAAAGGGAGATTACTGTTTATTTTTCCTTGAAATCACCAAGGAATTCAAGAGGTTCTTAAAGGCAAAGACACAAACCTTGCAGAAGTCACGATACAAATGTGCATTTACTATTATGATTAATTTTTATTGCTATTACTGTTCAACTTGGTGTCGTTATTATCAAATATTACTTTTCAATTCCATTCGTAGTAAGCTCACGAGGTCGTCAATGTCTCCATCCACCTAGTCCTGAATTTCATCTCTGATCCCATTGTTGTCATAATACTTATAGAGAAAGTCCCTTAGACATTAATTACCATGCTATATCTCGCTTTATTGACTATTTCATATTGTTTTATGCATCGGATTTTCAGATATTAAACTACATACCACATTATAAAATACGGATTTATGATAGGTATTGCCTTATTAACTGGGAGCTTCCTGTGAAGTGTAAGTCTCGGCTGTTAGTTTCATTTTGTTCTCATCTACTTCAGTTCTCATTCTACCAATTTGAATTTCCGCTTTCCCAGTTATTGGCAATTTACGAAAAATCCCAAGTAATGAACAGCACATCCTCAGCCTATATATAATTCACAAGAGTCGTTTACTCTAAGTTATAAGCAATATGAATTTTCCTTTCGTTGAAAAGAAATGCAAACGAAAGATATGGGAGAGTGCAAAGAACTGTCATTAATTTTCGAGTTTTATTTATATCATTCAATCTTGTGTTGAATCTTGTAACAAGCCACATTACCAACCGCCGCCTCCGCCATAGCCTCCCCCACCTCCACCTCCGCTGCCATATCCACCTCCACCTCCACCGCCGCTTGACAGGGAGCCCACGCCAACCAGCCGAGCCCGGACCACACTACCGCCTCCTGATCCACCTCCTCCACCAAAGCTACCTCCGCCTCCGCCTCCATATCCACCACCACCTCCACCTCCACCACCGCTTCCACCTCCTCCACAGCAACCGCCAGGAGCAGCCGCTGCCACACTTATGGCAGCCACGAACACCAGTGCAATCTGTTGAGAGGAAAATATATATTGTCTACTGTATGGTCACTTAGAATAACGTGCACAAGCGCATACAGATAAAGTATGGGCACATACATGGAATAATTTGGTATATCTATATCCATATCTGCATCTATTCATCTACCCCCATCTTACATATACTAGCATCCATGAACATTTCACTTTCTGTGTATCCACCATCTACCTATCCATCTATTTACAATTCCCAGCTTTACTGTGACAGAATAAACACTTACATAAATGTTCATGTTTTGAGGCCAAAACTCTGCAAGCTGACTGCATCTCGACTTAGTGACTCCTTTATACTCCCCTGTCCTCGGGGATGCCACGTATCCTTTACCTACACCTTTTGTGAAGCATAATTCTCCTGTCCTTCATGTTAGAGAAAGGATGAATGACTAGGTTTTGAATGTCGATTTATTGCCAACATAAAAAAAAAACAGATCGCAATGTGAGTGATCAAAACATACATCAGAAAGT